GCAGCAATGTGGCTGGCACTAATAACACACTGAGAAACTACCTCACACGAAGGTGAATGACATCAACCATTCAGATAATGCCATAAAAGACAAACACATATAAAGAGCTCACATTTATTAAAAAATATTCAATGAAAATATGAAAAAAGTACCAAGAATTATTTGCATTTGGTTAACAGTGTGGCTGTAGACTAGATTTTCTAGCCACCTGTAGGTTGCTTTCAACGGGGAAGCAGATTTTCTTGTTGGCGGTAGATGGTTGTAAGCAAGAATACAGAATATAAAATGAAAAGCAAATCTGCTGAATAAATGAAGGTCGCTAGACACAAAGTAAAGATGTCTGGGAACTATAAAGAGAAGGAAGAGATACAAGTGAAAAATAACTAAATGGAATAGTATTGAGTATAACAGAAGATTATTAGGCTCTTTGCAGTGTGTTTATTTGACAGAGCTTCTGTATTTCTTTCATGTCAAGAGTTGTTAGTTCTTAATCTACCAGTGATACAGATGAATGGCTAAAGCAACATATTTTTCTGAAGAGGATGTATCTTTCATCAAATGCTAGCTCAACTAATCTATCTCCTTGATGATGCTATTTTGCCAGCTGGCTTATTTATTAACTGTTTTTTCTTATTCTATTTATCTAGCACTTTTGCAAGTTACAGAAGGTTTTCATCTCCATTAAGTCTGAAAAATGTGTTTTACTGAATTATTTGAGAGACAAATATATGTATTTTTTAAAGTAATTTCTCAGAAAACCCAAGGAAACTGTCAGTGGAATGATGTCTAGATTAATTTAAAAAAATGATGTTTTAGAAATGGGCACTAGACATTTCCTATTTATCATATTTTAGTGAAGATGGATGCTATTTGCTCTTTCCCCCCCTCCCTTTTTTTTTCTTTCTTTTTTTTTTTTCTGGAAACAACAACTTTGCAGATTCAATCATTCAATTTGTCTCAAAGCTAAGTTGTGTTGCCTAAAATTCATCATCACTTAGAGCTGTGTAGTCACTGAGTTCAAATGTTTTTCTTTTGTGTGTATATATACCACACACACAGATGTTGAAATGCTGCATACTGGGGTTCACTTTTTTAGTATAGGGATGGAACCACTCAGGATTTACATGACTGTTTTCTCCAAAGCATTATAAAAGTTGTACAGATAATTGATCTTTAAATACACAATTTTACTTGTCACTAATGTTGGAGAATATTTTTAGCACTATTTTTTTTGGCAAAAAATATAACAAAGAAAGATTTCCTAGGTTTGCTCATACAGACAGTTTAACTGCTCTGCTACAATGACATGAGAATAAATTGGTGTCCTTTTTTAATAATGGATGGGGAAAAATGATATTTGCAAATTTTTTTCAAGCAATCTCAGATTCTGGGGAAGGACGGAATAAATTTGGGAGATGAACTAAGCACTTGATGGCTAACTAATAAATATTGTTTGGGAGAGCTCAACTTTTGTTTACTTTCCTATTTCATGAACAAAAAGATGTGGATTTTGTCACTGTAGGTAGTGCAAGTTTAAACTCCTAAACTGCTGGTTTTTATATATCCAGCACTGCCATCTCGTGGCCAGGACTGCAGTGAGCATCCGTTTCCTACCAAGAATTAAAGGGCTTTAAGCAGATAAAATAGTCACACATTTAAAATTCTTCATAAACTTAAAAAAATGAAAGCTACAAGAATAGTACTTTATTACTCTGTATTTTTATAGTCACAAAAGGTACGCTCAGTTTATACTCGTATTTTCACAGAATCTGCCAAGTTGGAAAGGACACACAAGGGTCATCGAGTCCAACTCCTCCCCCTTCACAGGACCATCCCCAAAAGTCACACCATGTGCCTGAGAGTATCGTTCAAATGCTTCTTGAACTCAGACAAGCTTGGTGCTGTGAGCACTTCCCTGGAGAGCCTGTTCCAGCACCCAACCACCCTCCGGGTGAAAAACCTTTTCCTCATATCCAACGTAAACCTCCCCTGACACAACTTCAGGCCATTCCCTCAGGTCCTGTCACTGGTCACCGCAGAGAAGAGATCGCTGTCTGCCCCTCCTCTTCCCCTCACGAGGAAGTTGTAACTGCAGTGAGGTCTCCCCTCAATCTCCTCTTCTCCAGGTGGAACCGCATGAAAGACAAACACCCACAATAAAAATCTAGATTAAAAATAGCTGCAATGAAATAAAGGTTCATTCCTGATTTCATTTATCTTGTTTTTAGTTCTGTACCAGCATAATACAGTATTAGATGTAGCATAAACATAAACAAAGTAGATAGCTCCCTCCAAAAGAACTTATTACTTAAGAGAAAACAAGTTAATGCAAACAAACAGAAGTATCAGACAAGAGGAAACAAATGCATATAAACAATAGGGGTAACTCAGGAAATACTGCAATACTGGTGAACAGACTTGATAGCAGATGTAATCATAGAAACATAAAATTTGCGTATGTGGTGGCAAAGTTTTAAGGTGGCATATTCATGTAGCACAGACAATCCTGTGTTACTCGCTACTATAATCAACAATTGATAAAGAACTGATAGAAAGTTACTGAGAAGAAATGGACTTGTCCATAGGATCATCCTACAAAAACTTCCAGAATTTCCATCTGTCACCCATCTACGACTGCTAGCTACAGCTACTGAAAGACAACACTGGGCTCTGGTCAAGCAGGATTTAAAGTAGGTGTTCACATTTGCTGTCATCAAGAAATGCATCAAGACATGGCTAAGGTAGCTGAGCACTCCATTGAGTGGTTAAGCTTTGTCAAATGGCAACTTTCTTCACTGGCATTCTTGGGCACGTCTGCACAGCGGGTTAATTCACCTCAGCAGCAGCTGGGCTTCAGCAAGTAGGAGCAGCCCCACCACAGAGCTAACAAACACAACTAAACTCACTGCTGCATAAATCATGTACGCACTCAGGTAAAGCATTGGTGAACACACACAAGGTTTAGTCTTGCTCTTGGCAGATAGATTAGAATTATTTCTTAATGGACTGTAGGAGAACCTCTCTGTTCTTTTGGAAATGCAGGCAGCACTGTGGGAGTGACAGGCTGACCTAGGCAGCACACACAGTAATGCTCACAGACTCCTGCAATATCCTGTTCGGTATTTTCCCTTGGTAATTCTCTGGTCAAGCTTGACAAAGAAACTTGATGAAAAGAATATCCAGATTTTATGAAGTTTTTGGACTTGGAAATTGTTATTTCCTAAATACATTTGAACCCAAGAACAATTTTTAAATACCTTACATAAAAAGCAATAATGAATGTTCATGTTCTTCCTCCTAATCATGATTACCTCATCTGCAGTCTTACAGAACAGAGTTTGCAGAATAGTTAAGGACTCAGTATCTAATGTAGTCTGTGGGATTTGTGAATATTCATAATTTCAGAAAATCAGCACATGAGTCTCCCATGATGAACACACAGAATTATTAGCTTTGAAAATACCTCCCTTCCCATATCTATGTTTCCAGTTCTCAACAGTTAACATAGGACAGGACTTCTTCATATAACAGAAATTTAGAAAATATGTGCTGTGTAATGGTTGGGTAGTGTACAGATAAGGATGTTTTTCATTAACTGCTGTCTAGCTTGTGTTATCTGATATGATCTTGTACAATTAATACATTCACACAGCATGGTTAAATAGCATAATTTAATTGTGCCAGCATATATCTTAACTTCTAAGAGTTTAACTCACAAGCTTGTGGCTAACACTGCCACTAAAAAGAGCCTTCAGTCCTCCAAAGGGGTGAAAGTGCTGCAGATACAAACCAATGATTGCAGAAAATAACAAGCAATCAAAAGCTGAAAGTTACAGCCTCCCTCCCCCCAGCAAACAGAAGTGAATCGAACCAGCAGAATAGAAAAAGAAAAGGCTTTAGGCCAAAACCAGAGGAAGTTGCAAGAGTTTAAAATGTCTAGAAGGAGTTAATAAAAATAATTTAAAAAGAAAAAAAATAGCAAAAGCATAAGGCTTAATGAAAAAGCTGTAAGTACTGGAAATGAAATGGGCAAGGGCTTGATTTGAAAACAGGAAAACCGATTATTTTTACTCGAGTTTTGAGTAATTTGAACAACAGTTTTCCGAAACAAGTATCTGTTTATCAGAGAACTATGTCTCTGTAGATACGTGCACTACATGCTGCAAATGCATCCTTTTCTTAGCTTTTTTTTAAAAAAAAGAACTAATATTTTTAGTTGGGAGTGCTCTCTGAGCGGCAGGTCCGCGTTTAGTCCCGGCTCAGTGCGTGGTGTCTGCACTGCTACTTAAGCCCGAACCTGCGCGAGCTCTGGGCTCCCACAGCGCGCCGGGCACTGAACACCTTCAGCTACTTAGTCTCCAGAGCGACTTCACTTTGTTATTCCGAGTGAACAACTTTGCATTACCCTTTTCCGCCAGGAACTCCAAGGGGGGGCGGGTGCCCTGCTAAGCCGGCCAGGCCGGGCGGCGCAGGGGGTCTCTCGCACCTCCAGCACGTGGTGGGAAAGGGGGAAATTCCCCCCTGGGAGCCGGCGGCGGGACGGGGACACCCCCACCTTCTGGGGAAACCGCTTCACCCAGGCCCCGGGAACCCCGCGCCCGGGTAAGGGCCCCTCCCATTCTGCGTCCCGCCGGGTCCCGCCCGCCCTCCTGGGCTCCATGTCGGGAGCGGTTCCCCCCAGTGGAGAAGGAGGAGGAGCGGCGCGTGCGCCGGAACCACCCCGCCGCCGGGAAGTGCGGCCGCCCGCGCTCGCCGTACAGCGCGGGCCGTACCAAGCCGCGCTCTCCGACGGGGGGGGCCGGGATCGGGAGGTGCAGGAACGCCGGGACCCTCTGGCCCCAGCCCGTCCCGCAGCCGGCGGGAAGAGCGCGGCGGGCACAGCCCGGGGCGGCGGCGGCGGCGCGGAGGGCGAGGCGGCGGCGCGACGGCCGCAGCTCCGAGCGGGGCCGCGGGCCGCGCCCCGGCCCGGCAGTGGCGGCGCCGGCGGTAGGGGCGGGGCGCGGGCGGCTTTGGGTAATGGCAGCGCTGTGAGGACGGAGCGGGGCAGCGACCGCGGCCGAGGGCAGGAGCGAGGGAGGCCGGGCGGGGGTCGCTGACTCGGGCCCCGGGCCGCCAGGTAATGCCCTTGCCCGGCCCGGCCCGCCTCGGCCTCCGCGCTGAGGGGAGGGAGCGCCGCGCTCGGGGCGAGGCGGCGGTCCCGACCCCGCCGGGTGTGCGCGGGGACGATCGGGCCCCTCCGCCCCGTCCGGCCCCGGCCCCGCCACTCCTCCCGCCCCAGGCCCGGCCGCGTCTGTGCGGCAGCGCCCGCGCCTGCCCCGGGTCCTGCCCTTGCCCCGCGGGGAGGGCGCGGCGCGGCCTCTCTGGCGGGGCCGGTCATTATTATGTCCTGGCGGCATCCTCGGCCGGTTTCGCTTTTGTTTTGGAGGGGGGAGGAGGTGGGGAGCGAACGGCTGGGTCCGGGGAGCGGGGCACGGGGGCGAGGGCAGGCAGAGCTGGTCACCTGTTGGAGGCCAGTGCTCCCGCCCTTGGCTGTGCACCCACCGCTGGCTTGTAATTTATCGAGGTGGTTCAATAGGTTGGAAATGTGGAGAATGCTTTGACGCTGGGGGAAACTACATTTGTGTGAACGAATATGTGCCGTTTGACCCTGGTATGTTTTAAAAGATGAGGCGATAGAAGCAACATCTTTTCATTATTCTGATGTGTAAATACGTTTCAGCAATATCTGCTTACCTTGGGGTTTGTCAAACAGATATGGTTTCCCACCCCCTGAATAGTATAAACCCTAGGGTAGATATTCTGCCCTGCCATAATTCTTACTATGAAGGTTTATTTGCATCAGTACAAGACATTTAATATTCTAAACTGCTGAGCTTGCACAATGCAGACACCAAAGCACAGCAAACCTCAAACCCCCACCATCTTACAGAAAAGTTTTACTACATTTAGTAATGTGTCTGTAAAACGCATTTAAATTCATATTGGTGTGAAAGCTGTGAGAGACTGCAAAACAACAGTCAGCTTTATCTTAAACTATTTAACTCTGGAATACTTTGTTGACTATGTGAATGCTTTACATGTTATTAGGTTTTGGTGATACTGAACACAAGTTTACTGATTCTGTGTGATGTACTGTGGGTAGGACTTTTTCTTCACCCTTCCTTCCTCCCCAGGGTTTTGCTTATCTGTGAAGAAAAGGTTCTTTTACCTTGGAGGTACCACGTGTGTTTCCAAGACAGTGACCTATAATGTAACACTCAATTAAGTACAACTTCATTACCACAAGCACTTCTTATGATTGTTAATTTTCTTTGTGGACCATGATTTTTTTTTTGGGGGGGTGTCAGCTGAAAATACTCTTGTGTTTTCCAGAATAATGGTATTAGAGCTCTTTGAAGAGTACCACTTTGTCCCTTCCCCCCTTTTTTTCAGCTCTCACTGATTTTCTGTGAAGTAAGCTGCTACTGACATACCGGGCTTGAAGTAATAACCATGTTGCAAATATAACAACATTAACAGCAGTTGAGGAGCTTGGTTAGTTAGTCCAGGGGGTGTTTTGTATGCATGCAGGGTAAAAGTTACATCTGATTTTATTGTATTTTTTCTTAGACTGAGAAGTTCTTTACCCTGCAAGAGCCAGTAGTGATTAAGGTAGTAAGCTAGTTGCTAAATGGTTTTGTAGCATGACATTTGATTCTTTCCCTTACAGAGGTCTGCCTCTTGTGTTTAAAGTCTGCTTGTCACTAGCCTTCTGTTTTCCCTTCTGACCTTGAAGATTTGGGAAGACAAGAATTACTTGTTCATGTATTTAAAATGAAAGAAGAAATATTCTTTCCACGTTTTATTTTAGTCTTACAATGTCATGTTTCTGAGCAGGAACTAGACTTGCTTTGTGCATGGAATGTCACACATCAGGTCCTTTCTAGATTAGGTGCATAGGACAGAGACTAGTGGAAACAAAGAAGAGGCCTTCACAGTTGTCTCTTTTTTTTTAAATCACCTTACTTTTTCCCTGGTTTTATTTCAATAATTTAATGTTGAGGGTTTCTTTTTCCAGTAAATCTCTTCCAGTATTTTTTATCTGAAATTATTAACACAGCTTCTGTATTTTGAAGCCATGTCTTTGAAAGATTTCAGGATTTGTCGTACTGCATAGTGCAGTAAGCTGTACAAGCTCTACATATTGCTCTGTGTTTAGATATGTTGTCTTTTTGTCATCCTGATCAAAGCTTTGAGCTTTTGTGGCTTTTTAAATGTAGCACCAAAAATGTCTCATGAAAACCTGAGGTGAACGTAGGCTAAAAACTGACAGTGGTAACTTCACATACTCTGGTAATAGTTCAGTGTGTTTCTGCCCAAAATTTTCTCAGATACAGCTTAAACAGGCTTTGCATATAAGTGAACAAATAAGAATTTACTGAAGAGTTGTTCTCTTCATATAGCACTGTTAAATGGACAGCTTGGTGAGACAATGAACTTCATGAGGCATGATGTTGTTAGATTAATTGGTGTTATGTTGTAGGCTACTTGTGCAACATGAATGTTTCATTCCATTACATTAAAAACAAGAGTTTGTGAGCTTAATTTTGGAGGGTGGAGAAGCAGGGGTGGGTGTTCGCGTTGCTCTGTCATGGTGGTGCAACACTCTGCAAAGTTTAAATTGAAAAATTTAAAGGAAATGCATATATTTTTTAATGATTGTGCAATGTTGTCTGACAAGTTTAATTCTTCTACAGATTAACACTAAAGCCCCACAATGTCCTTGAAACCACGAGTAGTTGACTTTGATGAAACATGGAACAAACTTCTAACGACGATTAAAGCCGTTGTTATGTTGGATTATGTTGAAAGAGCAACGTGGAATGATCGCTTCTCGTATCCTTTAAGTGAAAAATCTGACTTAATGTGTTCAAATGATGTATTTAGCACAGAGGAAGCCCGTGTTACACAACAATTTCAGTGTTCTTGATCAGAAGCTTGTTGTAAGGCTGTACCTGTTATTAAGCCTGAAGATCAGTGGATATGCAAAATTCTGTGTATTTGGGAAGTATTCTATGTGAAAGTCACCATATTGACAAAAAGTCTCAGTTTTAGTCACTTTTAGTAGCTCTATTACTTAGCTTATGCTATAGCTGTTCACAAAAGTGCAGGCCTTGAATGTCCCCTATTCTGATAATGAGGTTTTCTTGTTTGTTTAAATGTGTATGTGGCAGGGGAAACACCAAGGACAGAAAATGCACATCTTTAAATTTGCGGTGCGGGGAATAGTGAGGTTTTTCTGTGTACAGATTTCTGCTTCTCCTTTGCACTTCTATCTGTACTGATGACTAGCATCTTAGACATTTCTATAGCAAGAGTTTATTAAAAAGCCTTCTTCCTTTCCCTCCACTATCATAACCTCTCTATTCTTTACAGTTAAGTCATGGTTAAAAATAATTACTCTTTCTGTGATCAAATGGTCTTGCTGTTCAAGTCAGAGCTGTATATATATCGTTGTAGTGAAAGGTTTGCATTTTATCTGTAAAATGGACTTGTAATTTTTTACAAGGTTTAAGTTGCAGTTAACTTCTTTTAAAATAAGTGTAGCTGTTCTAAGCAGTTATACTGTGCACTGTGTCTATGTATTCATTAGCCATTACAGTGTGGTGAATAATTAGACAATTTTAGGAGGCTTTGCACCTGTTCTGCAGCAATTATACAGAGTTTGGTTTAATTATAAGGGGGAAGAATGGTTTAGACTTATTTATTGATTTGTTAATTCTTGTGGGTGAAAAAAGAAGCTCCTGAGAAGATTCTTATATGTGGATTTTTACAACACAAGCTTATTCTGAGTGCAGAATCTTGACTCTAAAGTCTCTTCTTGTTCTGAACATGTTACCCTTTCTCAGAATTGCTTTCCCATGTGCCTGTGTTTTGACTGTGTGCATGTGTATACTTAAATGGAAAATTTAGTTGCTTGTGGACCCTTATTGTGGTGCAATAATCTTTAAGGAGCTCTTTCATATTAAAACTTGGTAATTAATTTCTGGGGACATGGGTCGTCACCTTGTCTTGGAGTCAAGTTCAAGTGACTCCAGAATTTTCAGACGTTTTGAACTAATTAGTTTTGCGCTTATGTGCTGACAAGTTGAGCTGCAGTCATTCCTTCTAAGCAGTTTTTGAGGATTTAATATTTCAGTCTTCAACAAGTGGTTAAATTCTGTAGTTTAAAATTCTAAACATTTAGACAAGGGCACCTAAAATAGATTTAAATATAAAATAATAATTGTTGCATGAGATGTTGAATTGATTCCTCGTCACACTGTTTCACTTAGAATTTCTTATGTGGAGACCTTGTACACAAGTCTGCTGTTGATCCTCTTTTGGGATTTACTCCAGTTGATTGAACATCAGAAAAGGAATGCTTATGAATAGCGGACTCAGGAAGCAGTCTTGGAAGAATCATTAGGCATGTAATTCTTAAGACCTTACTTACTATCATCTCTTAATTATGGTCCTTGGAAAGTGGTACTATTAGTGCCTGATTTGGCACAGGCATGACCCTTTTGGCTTATTGTCTATGGCTGAGTGGCCTGAGGAGTTTGTGTGACTTGTAACTTCCAGCTTGAATGTTGATTGTTTGGTACTTCTGCTTCCTGTAACCAAACTCTGTGTTTTTACACAAACTGCTCACTGGGTATTCAACAACTGGGTGAAAGTGGTAGTTCTGTACAGCTGGTGTGAAAGCTTTATATATAAAGAGAACTAAAGTCTTGATGATATATTTTAAGTAGATTTACCCTTTAAAAAATATGTCGTCTTATTTTTTGTTAACTTCTTATTCTCAGTTAAATTCAATATAATCGGAGTAATCTGTTTCTAGACACCTACAGAGATTTTAAGGGAAATGTCATATTAACTCTATTTTTCAGATTGCTTAATAAGCACAGTTTAAATAATCTGTCCCAGGTTATTTGAATTGTGTTTTAATGAAACTCAGACAGGTTACTTCGTTGATTATGGTATCGGTTGATCTTGTACTGTGTAGTTGAAACAATAATGTGGAAACAAAGGATAAGCTACAGCAAAGAATCAGTTTTCATCTGTAGCAATGTGTTCTACGAAGTGTTTGCTTTCTCTTGTGCTGCTTGAGACAGCTGAGATCAAATTGAGTATGGAGGCTAATAGTGTTTGAGGAATGAGAGGCTTGTACTGTGCATATTTCACTTCTAGAACTAATTTTTGCCCCATTAGTTCCCCAGAACTTGTTTGTCTTTAATATAGTGTTTCCTTTGTAACTTATGGTAATTTTATTGTTAAAGGTAGCTTATTTTTAAATAAATCCTTTATCTCAAACTTGAAATGCTTGAATGGCAATGAGTTGGGAACCACAACTGTGTAAGAGTTAAAATCTTCTGGAAAAGATCACTTGAAAGACAATATGTCACTTTATTTAAACAGTGAGTCATCTTGAGACACCTTTGACCTTCAGATTTCCTTTAAGGTTCTCAGCAGAAAGAATTGTGTATGGAGTTGTTTCATTGTCTGGAAAACGAGTGACAGCTATGTCTCTATTTGAGATGTTATTTACTATAATTTGGTTATTGTGAATATGTTGTATAACTTTCTAGACTTTGCTGCTAACTGTTCAGTAGACCTGGGAGTGCTCTTTAAGTTTGAGCTCAGGCTTGGTTAGAGTGGTAGGTAGTTCATCTGTGCTTTGATAACTACTTTTTACTTAGAACTTTTTCAAACAGGTAGAACATCAGGCTCTTCCTGTTGTTGTCTTGGATTTTCCACCACCAAATAAATAAGATGGACAGTACCCAGGGAGGATGGTAGCTGTACTGCAAATAGAATTATTTTAAAAGTATGCAGCATCACCACCGGCTTTTTTTTTTTTTTTCATTTCTCTGCATGTTTGTTCTCCTTCCTCTTAATTCTCTGTTTTACAAGGATTCTATGATAAACCAGAAACTTAAACATGTGTTTTTAACAAAACAATCAGCCCAAAGAGAAGGAAGAGTAAATAAAGTTCACATGATCATAATTTTTTCTGACTATGAGTCCTCAAGTCCTCTGTGAATTTTGATTCTGTTATGGAAGAAGACCAACAATTGAAAATTTACCCAAAGCTCTGAGTTGGTCTTCAAAACCTTCTGTTAACATAGGGTCTTACCTAGATGCTTTTTTAACCCTCAGTTCAGTATTTGTGAGCTTTTATGACTGTGGATATAATATTTTCTGGTTGATAGTAGTTTTGTTGTTCTTTCTTAGTTTGGAAGTGCTTAGGTTTGGGTGATGTCTCGCAAATAACAACAGCCAAAGCACTTAAATCACATAAGGCTTTTGATGTTCTTGTTCTCAGCACAGAGTGAAGGCCCTTAAGCAGCAGTTTGGCTTCAGCTTCCTTTCTCACCCTCCAAAACTCTGTGCTGAACTGGAAGGACAGATGGCTTTCACCATTAAAGCTAAATTATTGAACAGTAAAGGCTTCTTCCTGATCTTCTAAGGAACGGCAGCACAGGAAAAATGTCCTTTAAGTGTATGGAGTAAAATGCCAGTGATGATTAATGATTCATCTACCCTCAGAGGTTTTTTTTTTGTTAAGAGATTCACAACATTTTGGACATGACACTTAAGTTTGGATTCTGGACTGAAAGATAGATAAAGGAACCGGTACAAATAGAGCAAGAATGTAGCAAAGCTACTCTGTAATGTGTATTTCAGTCTCATGATACCTTTTGTAGCAATTCAGAAATGCTTAGTGCCCCAGCATTTGGTGTTGGTTTTTAGTGTTTGGTGGATACAGGAAAAGGTGTGAGTTGCCTGTTAAGTGCTTCTGTGATTAGGCTCATAGTTTGCATACCTGCTGAAATTAAACAGAGTGGCATATGTCAAGGAGGAATAATAGATTCAGCTTTCTTTGCTTGCAAGAAAATTTTTTCTCTAGAGTAAGGAAAGGCGTGTTTGGAAGATGTGCATTTTCATGAAGGAGTACAGATATTATTTTCATACTTAAATAGGATTACTGCAACTAAGAAGCTTGTTTACAACAGTCAAGTCATCCAGACTTGGGCACAGAGGCTAGATTAATTCAGAGATATTTGTTTGCTGCTTTCAAATAAACTTCTGTTACTATTTTCTTGTGCTGTTTGGGTGAAGACTGCATCTTTTCTCTAAATTTGAAGTACATTGTTTTTGTAGTAGAGATCCATTATAGTTTTGGTGATTCAGATAATGTAGTTGTGGATCTAAAGAGAAAAAAGTCAAGTTCCCTTTGCTTGTGAGTAGCTTACAAAGATTTCTAATTCTGGAGTTTATTTTCTCAAAGATATCTTTGCATAGTGAAGAGGCTTGTGGTCTGAATTGTGTTGAGGATGCATTTGACTACCAGCCATCCTTAGACTGAGAAAATTTCTTGGAGAGGGGAAAGTGTAAAAAACAATTGTTCTTTATAATGCCTTTAAAAAAACATTTCATTCTTCGCTATTAATTTAATAGGGGGTTTTATATTTTATTGGTTACAACTTTGTAAGCTATTGCAGTGCAATGCTAGTTACTGTTACAAAGCAGTGAATGTTGCCTGTTTTGTTTGTTGGGGTTTTCATTTAATACTTCTTGCCTTTCCAAGAAGAGTTCTGATAAAGATGATCTATATGGATAAAATAACTGTACACAAGATTAGATTCTGGTGGGGCTCTCTGAGATTCCAGTTGCCCAATGAAGGGGTTTTTTTCTGATTAATTATCTTACATCAGTATCTTACATCAGGCCAACGAGCCTGATATCCTGGTGGGAGTCTGTTGCAGATCACCCAGTCAAGATTATGAGGGTGATGAATTATTCTACAAGCAGCTGGTGGACGTCTCAAAATCGCCAGCCCTTGTTCTCGTGGGCTGCTGGATGTCTGCTGGGAACTCCACACAGCAGAGAAGGGGCAGTCTAGGAGACTCCTAGAGTGTTTAGAGGATAATTTCCTGCTCCAGCTGGTAAATGAGCCTACCAGGGTGGAGCACCACTAGACCTGCTGTTCACAAGCAGAGAGGGGCTGGTGGGAGATGTAGTGGTCGGTGGACGTCTGGGACACAGTGATCATGAAATAATAGAGTTTTCAATACTCAGGGATGCAAAGAGGACCATCAATAAAACCTCTACATTGGACTTCGGAGGGCAGATTTCGGCCTATTCAGAAGACTAGTCCAGAGTGTACCCTGGGGAAAACCCCTTGAAAACAAAGGGGTCCAGGAGGGATAGACGTATTTCAAGAAGCAAGTTTTAAAAGCACAGGAGCAGGCTGTCCCACTGTGCCAAAAGGCAAGCCAGCAGGGAAGACGACCGGTCTGGCTGAACAGGGAGATTTTGAAAGAAATCAGGGTAAAGAAGAGAGCCTACCGATTATGGAAGAAAGGGCTGACTACTCAGGAAGAATTCAGAAATATAGTTAGGTCGTGTAGAAAGAAAATTAGAGAGACGAAGGCACAACTTGAACTGAATCTCGCCACCTCTGTGAAGGATAACAAAAAGTCCTTCTACAGATACATCAATAGCAAAAGGAGGGGCAAGGAAAACCTCCACTCTTTACTGGACATGGGCAGGAATATAGTTATCAAAGATGAGTAAAAGGCTGAGGTATTTAACACCTTCTTTGTCTCAGTCTTCAACAGTAAGACAGGTTGTCCTGAGGACAGCTGGCTTCTGGAGCTTGTAGAAAGAGACAAGAATCGGAACAGCCCACCTGTAATCCAGAAGGAAACAGTGACCTACTGAGCTGCTTGGATCCCCAAAAGTCTATGGGACCAGATGGGATCCACCCAAGGGTGATGAGGGAGCTGGTGGAAGAGCTCGCCAAGCCTCTCTCCATCATCTATCAACAGTCCTGGCTCACTGGGGAAGTCCCAGATGATTGGAAGTTGGCAAATATCATGCCAATCCACAAAAAGGGCTGGAAGGAGGACCCAGGAAACTACAGGCCTGTCAGCTTGACCTCAGTGCCTGGCAAGGTGATGGAGCAGATCATCCTGAGTGCAATCACACAGCACCTGCAGGATGGACAAGGGATCAGACCCAGCCAGCATGGGTTTAGGGGGGCAGATCCTGTCTGACCAACCTGATTTCCTTTTATGATCAGGTGACCCACCTGGTGGATGAGGGGAAGGCTATGGATGTGTCTGCCTGGACTTCAGCAAAGCCTTTGACACTGTCTCCCACAGCATTCTCCTGAAAAAGCTGGCAGCCCACGGCTTGGACAGGGGCACTCTGTGCTGGGTCAGGAACTGGCTGGAGGTCCAGAGAGTGGTGGTGAACGGGGCTGCATCCAGTTAGCAGCCGGTCACTAGTGGTGTCCCCCAGGGATCAGTGTTGGGCCCAGTCCTGTTTAATATCTTTATTGATGACTTAGATGAGGGGATTGAGTCCATCATCAGCAAATTTGCAGATGACACCAAGCTGGGGGAGAGTGTTGATCAGCTGGAAGGCAGGAGGGCTCTGCAGAGAGACCTGGATAGGTTGGAGAGTTGGGCTGATTCCAACGGGATGAAGTTCAACAAGGCCAAGTGCCGGGTCCTGCACTTTGGCCACAACAACCCCATGCAGTGCTACAATCTGGGGACAGAGTGGCTGGAGAGCAGCCAGGCAGAGAGGGATCTGGGAGTTTGGATTAATAGGAAGCTGAACAGGAGCCAGCAGTGTGCCCAGGTGGCCAAGAAGGCCAATGGCATCCTGGCCTGGATCAGGAACAGTGTGGCCAGCAGGACCAGGGAAGTGATTCCTCCCCTTTACTCAGCACTGGTGAGGCCACACCTCAAGTGCTGTGTCCAGTTCTGGGCCCCTCAGTTCAGGAAGGACATTGAGGTGCTGGAGCAGGTCCAGGGAAGAACAACAAGGCTGGTGAAGGGACTCAAGCACAAGTCCTGTGAGGAGAGGCTGAGGGAGCTGGGGTTGTTCAGCCTGGAGAAGAGGAGGCTCAGAGGAGACCTCCCCTGAAAGGAGGTTGTAGCCAGATTGGAGTTGGTCTCTTTTCCCAGGCAACTATCAGCAAGACAAGAGGCCATGGTCTTAAGCTGTGCCAGGGGAGGTTTAGGTTAGATATTAGAAAGAATTTCTTTACAGAGAGGGTAATCAGACATTGGAATGGGCTGCCCAAGGAGGTGGTGTATTCTTTGTCCCTGAAGGTTTTTAAGACAAGACTGGATGTGGCACTTAGTGCCATGATCTGGTAACCACAGTGGTAGTGGATCAAGGGTTGGACTTGATGATCTCAGAGGTCCCTTCCAACCTGGCTGATTCTATGATTCTTTTTTTGGTAGTATATATTTGTTTTGAGTATATTAAAAATTAAACATCCATTTGGAGAAAGCTGTGAGATGAGAGCTTGACACTGCTCTGTAGACTAAACTGTCAACTGTCTGTGTCCTTTACCTCCTTTTACATGGGCATGTGCTTTTTTTGTGGTAAACTAGAGGAAAGCAGGTCTTATGTCTTCCTTTAATTAAAGTAATCTACTAAATCATTATTTCTAGCATGACTGGTTTTATAAAGTGTATTTCTAGTATGGCTGGTCTTTTAATGCCTTGGTTTAGTAGAGAAGCATGATGTTTTAAACTAATTTTTTCAGAATTAGTTTATTTCCCCATGTGAAGCTTGACCTCATCCTTGCTTGACTTTTCTGAGAGCAAAATTCTTAATCATCAACTCTCTTCCTGACAAAGCATCAAGCAACTCTTAAAACTTGATATAAATGTTGCAAACCAAAAGCGTAGCTCTGCAGGGTACTTTAAGGAGAAAATGAGCCTAAGAGTTATAAGTGTTGGCTGCTTTAAGTTAGCAAGTAAAACTGTTTTGTGTGGCTGTGATCTAAACAGGATTACTGAATTTATAATAATGGTTAAAAATGAAACAGTTTTTTTTATCCACACCACCATTGTGATCACTGAATTTTCAGTGTCCCCCGAAATTGTTTTACCTGTGGAGTTGGGGGCAAAATGCAGGGACAGTAAATTGTTTTGGACTCCAGGAAGGAAGACTTCCTAATCACATTCTTAACCTAATTAAAGCTTCTTTCCATTATATGAAAAGAGTCTCAGTTTGTGTTGGCTGCAAATACAGAGGAAGAGTTGTGCGCAGAAGCTGCTTTTTCACTTTGAGATAATCGTATGTTATTCGTAGATGGCAAATAAGTGGTAGAAGCCACATCAGTGTGGGGCTACTAGAAGTTTCAGGATCTTAGCTCTAACATTCCCTCATCATCCAGTATTTAAAATTTTGTATTAATGCTGTAAACTTAAATTCTTCCAAACTAGTGCTTACACCAATTCAGAAAATGATCCATTTTATCTATTTTGCTTGACTATAAAACAAAACCCACCTAAACTGCATGTGTGTGAGAAAAAAGGGTTCTGTAAATCATAAATTTTATTGATAAGTTTTCACACTTTAATACCAACCTTGACTTTGAGCCCAGAGACATTTATGCTTTGTGTGTGGCCTATCCTGAACCTCTTGGAGAGAGACTTTATACTGAGACTAAAATTTTTTTGGAAAATCACGTACGCCATTTGCACAAGGTAACATGTACAGTTAGTGGTGGGCATGTAGGTTTTGTTTGTTCTTTTTTGACTTCAGGAAGAGGGTTTGTTTGTATGTTTTTATGAGACTAAATTGCAGGTGACAGTTCCAGAGACACAATATTTATATATGTGGTATATGTAACACATATCACACAACATAATATTATAGATATCTGTTTATGCAACACTAAAGAAAGAATTTTCTTTCTAAGCTAACGGTTACAGTTTATATAATACATTGATTGGTTTGAAAAGTTCTTTTTTGTTGAATGCTTGTTATCAAGCAATTTACAGAAATGTCTTAATTTTCCAAACGTACTGTAGTTTGTTGTTAGCCTTCTGTTTGAACAGAAAAGTATCTACTGCACTGTCTTGGAAACTGATTGTATATACTCTGCTAAAACAAACCCAACCAACTTCTGAAATGTGTGGGAAATAACAAAAATGCTTGGGAGGGGAGAAAGTAATGGCAAATTATTTATTAAGACAAATAACAATATTTGTATACCTGTATAGTTTTGGGTTAACTTCTGTTTCTCAGCTAAAACAGCGGATTTCATCAGAATCATGGTTCGTCATGTTGAGTAGATAGGATGGATGAACAGTATCTCTTTGTATATCAGTAAAAAGAGAAGTAGATTTAAATAAGATGCCTGCCTGCCTTAAGTGTCTTTAGAGGGGATAGAGCGCTGCAAATTCTGGATGGTGCTGCTAAATGGCTTGGTGCTATTTTTTGAGCTTATGTACCTGAGTATTTGACAAGATGGGCTGGGTGTCTTAGTGGGTAGTTCCACTGGTTGCAGAGAGGATAATTCTGACACTTTGCTAGACTAAATCAGTTCACTAAACTAGCAGAGAGCTCTGCCAAAAAAGTTCTTCCTCATTATTTAGTGAGCTGAATGAGCTCACTTAGGATAATCAGGCAGGTGCCAGCACAGTAGAAGCAGCAGGAAGTAGCGGAAAGCACACATCCGTGTTTTTAAATTGGCCATCCACCACTTGTCTTTGAAATAATGTTGGAAAAGCTTTGCAAAATGCATTCTGCAGCAGAAGGCATTCTCAATTCTGTTTTGTCTACCAACTTTCCTCTTTTACATTTTTATTACTTTTTTTCCATTTTTTGCGTAGACTTCATTGCTGCTTGAGCCAGATTTTATAATTACAAACTCTAGAGAGAATTATACTTGAGTTCTTAGGATCATAGTCTCCCTTACAAATCATAATAATTAGTTGAAATTGTTGAACTTATTTCTTTGAAGTATAAATATTTTGAGAAGATGAGTACATCAGCAACTTTTTAGTTGATGATTACCTTAAATTTCAAAAGATATAGGCCTAGATTAGCAGAACTTCAAAAGTGTTTTATGTTTATATGTATCTGTGCTTTGGTAAACTTGCTTTATTGCATGATTCTTGCTAAGTATAAGGGCTTGTCTATCCAGTAAGGCACACTGGTTTAAAATGGTTATAGTTAGGCAATTCCTCCAGTGTGCATGTGGCTAAGTGTATTTAAAACTGATGTGTCAATGAGGGAATAATTATGCAAGTTATCTCACTAGAATGATGTAAAAATACAAACCATGCTTATTCAAGCAAATACTTTTGAAAAGATAAATAGAAAATAATACAGTAGAGAGGATGTTGTTTTTAAATGCAAAATAAAGCAACTCCAGGTGGTGTAGCTGGTTTACCAAAACTTGACAGTGTGAAGATATGTTAGTTTTCTGGTCATTGCAACAATGCAACAATTCTGAATATGTGATTGCTATTCCAAAATGATAATCCCATTGTAACTTTCTGAATATGTGTGATATTTTCATACTAATTTTAGTGTGGGGGGGTGTGCCTTCACAGAGAGTTCTGGAAGCTGAAGAACAAGTACTGGTTATGTATCACAGATACTGGGAAGAGTATAGCAAAGGGGCAGACTATATGGACTGTTTATACAGGTAAGATTTGCAAAAGAATTGTTAAACTTTTGAAATTATTACAATGATCTGTAGGTTAAGTTGAAGAATGTTGCTTAAAGAGAGCAATAGATGAATATGCCCCAGGTCAGTTTTGGAGAGAATATAGTTATAGTAGCAGAACATGAGCAAAAGGGAGTAATGCCTCAGCAGGTAAGTTATCTAAGATGGTTCCTACTCTTTTTTCATTACTAGTATGTTCTCCTTGATGTTGCAGTGCCAAATGTATTGGTGCTAATCAACCCTGCAGTGAATTAGGTCATAGTCGTAGAGGTTCTTCTGCAAGGAGGGGATATGTTTTGTTTTTTTGACAGAATGTTTTGGATGAAAGTACTTCTGAAGACCTTAAGAAGATATTCTGCTTTTTATAAAGTGGTTCGAGTTCTTTTCTTACTTGCATGCCTGCTCTCAAAAAAAATACTATAAATTAGTTGACTCTGTTGTATCCCAGGTTCTGATTTGTGTAATTCTTCCAGCAATGAAAACTGATTGATTTTTACAGCTAGTAATCTTAATGTTATTTAAAAATAGATTCCTTTAAGGTTTAAGTAGGCTTGCATCTCTGTGCTTCTAACCTGCTAGGCACTATTTGAAACACTGCTACAATGTAAGACACTTTTGAGCAAAATTCATAAAATGCAAGACTAATCACGAGATTGGCAAATGAGACAAATGTTTTCTTTCTTTGGTGTTGATTTTGATTTGGGTTTTTTTTTCACCCAACCTCCTGGGTGCATTTTGCTAGGAAAACAAATTTGGATTCAGTTTGAAAACTAAATTCCCAGATATGCTTGACTCTAAATATTGGTGATAAAACTGATGGAATAAGAAACAGTTGATATTAAAGAACCTTCTTCAGTAGTTTTGGTTAGTTCTGATGATAAAAACAATGCTGGACATTAGAGCTTATCAGTGTCTTGGTGCTGTAACTGTTTTTATAGATACTTGTAAAAAATCTGGTCTGTGTACTTTTATTTCAATTAATTGGAGGGTTTTCTTATCCAGCAAATTGAAATTAAGTGATTTAAAGAAAAAAAAAAAAACAGAATTTTTAAAATCTGCTCATAATAAAATCCTAAAATCTAAACACACATAGTGCTGCTTTTGTTTTGTTCCGTTTTGTCTTTTTTTAAAGCAGTTGTAATAATACCAGCATATCAATGTATAGCAATTTTTAGGTCTTTATGCTAGTCTTGGTTCTCTTTCTGTATGTACTGATGGAGAGAGAAGGTGTGAGTGAGGGGAGCACGGGGCTTTCCTTTTTAGCAAGTTTAACAAGAAAAAGTAGGCTGGCAGCTGTTGGCTTTGTTCACATGGTGGAGCCTGGCAAAAGTACCATCAAGGAGCATGCCTGCTTAAGGCTGGTGTTCCAACTCTTCTGGATGCCTTACAGGTTATGTATGATAGTGGGCCTGTAGCCTTCTGCACAGACCTGCATTTACAGTTTGTGATGGTTATCAATGATACCAGAGGGGTTTACAGTTCTCTGTAAGAGTCTAAAAGTAGGTTAGGCCACTGTATTCCAGTTTGTCATCACTGCACTGTCACAAGTTTTCCTTCTTTGGACTCTGTGGTGTCCTAAATTCTTTCAAGTTCACAGGTTTTCACAGCGTGTTTCTCCTTTTCTCCTTTGCTTGGCTTTTGCCTTCCTGCCCAGAGTGTTCAGGCATCACAAGTCTGGTGCAGCCTCTGAACACTGAATCTCTTCAAGTGCTGGCTGTTTTCAGTGTCTGAAACCGGGCATCTGAAAACTGCTGGTTAGATCAGAAGTTAAAAAAACATTCTCGGTTGTCTCATTTAAGCACTAACATTATAAGTGTAGTTATGAACTATATTAGAATTTTTTTCCCAGTTATCAGGGAAAGGAGAATGGTGCAGTTTAAATATGTTATAGTATTTACTTTATGGAAATACTGGGAATCAAGAGGGATGTTTTCCCAGGTCTTGCACAGAAACCATTTTCTGTTATTTATAAAAACTATGCATATAATAGTAAATACTGAATACACAAAAAAACAAGCATTTATAACATTTCTGCAAATTCTTCTCTATAAAATTTGTGATCTGGCTGTTTGCTAGTTATCATGACCTGGTCAGGGGTCATAACTGAGAAAAGTTTGCCCTCTTAAAATTGACAGTACTTCCGTGTTTCAGTCTGAGGGAAATGCAAAATAATAAATAATAGAGGTAGAGAAAATATTTTTAACTTAAAAATATCTGATACTCAGGAGTGTTCTTCTATCATTAATAATAGATAAACCACTATCAATCTAATACTAGTCAACTGCTCAGAATTTAGCAGTTATTTTGCATATATATGTATGAGTTAATATGGCAGTGCATGTAGATAGGTTGGATTCCTACACAAGTGTATTGCTCACCAAGAAAATGCTGACAGTGATATAGCAGGCTCTTGTTTGATTTCTCAATTACCAACACTGTACTGTTTTAATATGATGTAAGGTCTTTTAAATTGAAGTAATTTATCTTTTCAGATTTTGCTACAAATGGCACTGGCATTGGTTAAAGGAAGTTATATTTTGTTAAGACATTCCACAATTCCAAGTCTATTAAAAAAAAAAAAAGAACTTTTGCCTGTTTTGATTAGAATATCTTCATTTCTGTAGGTACCTCAACACACAGTTTATTAAGAAGAACAAATTGACTGAAGCTGATCTTCAGTATGGCTATGGAGGGGTGGATATGAATGAACCTTTGATGGAAATTGGAGAGGTAGGTATCTCTGAAAGTGGGCTGGATATAAACTGTATGTAGAAATGCTGCAAGTTCAGCTCTGTCCTTTTACAATTTGACTTTTCTGTGTTACAGAATAGGAATATTGTAGAGTATGTAAGCACTGAACCCTTTGTAAAATGAGAATACAGCTTTGATGTAGATAAATACTGGCAGGCAAAAAAAGCAAATATGAAAACTATTGGAAAATTTCAGTTTTAAAATATGATAACTTGCAAACACACTTTGGATTATTAAGTGACACTACTATCAAGAAAATGTTTTGAGGAAGCAGTAATTTTGTTTTTAGAAACCCTTGAAATATTACTTTTAGGCTTCTATTTCTTGATGACACAAGGTACAAAAGCTTTTTTTTTGAGATTAGTCTTCTGCACATCTTATTTTCTAATGCAAGCTGTTTTGAACTTCAACTCAAATTTTAAAAGAAAAAGTAGGTATTCTGTGCACAAAAGTGTCATGTAGGGAGGGTTTATCTTTAAAAAAAGAAGTAATTTGTGGCAGGCACAAGGGTGTTGTCACAGTTACTAATGGAGAGGCTGAGAGTAATTTTTAAATACTTATAAAATAAAAAGTCCTGTCAGTAGTAGGACTACATTCTGAGACTTCACTCCGTGCACTGCAGCTATGCAGAAGTGGGGTTTGTGTTGTTTGTCACTTGATGGCTACTCCTACCATGAAGTATAAGACAATAAAGCAAAAAGACAATTTTACAGTTAAGAAAGAAGAATTCTTTAAGATACAATGCTTCAGTATGTCTTTAAAAAGCTTTGAAAACACTTTTTCAGTCTGCATCAGGATAAAATCACAGTCCTGAATACAGCTGAGTGCCAATTTGTTTTTTGAATGCTTGTGTGTGTATGTTTGCTTTGGGTCCATATGTACACACACTGCTAGCTGGAGAAATTATTCTGTCATTATATGTTTTGGTATCTTATTTTTTTCCTTTCCTCTCTACATTTGCCTTTTTCACTACAGTAGGAAGTGAATATCTCTTCTCTTTTGCTTTGGAAGGCTAGAGAAAATGCTGCTTTTTTCCTTAATGTCAGAACTTGACCTGTCAGTGATTACAGTTCTGGCTCTTTGATTTCATTGTTTGAAGCAGGAGATCTGTGTTGCCTTTAGTTAAGAGTAAGGAGAGATTGTGATGCATGAGGAAGCACCTTCTGTACTTCTGACCTAGCTGATGAAGAGGGCACTCACTGCTAATTGAAATTGCTAATCCTCTGGCAGGTTGGGGATGGGCTGAAGCAAATTCCAGAAACATTATATGCTTTAAATCAAGGCATTTTAGAGAAGGAAATTCTTCTCTCTTCTGTCTACGCTGTCTCCAAGGCTTGCTATTAGTGGGGTCTATAAAGGCTTATCAGAGCTTGGAAGTGCATATTGCTGCACTGTTTATGGTATCTCAAAATGGCATAAATGTTATTCCTTAGTTCCTCAGACTGAGGTTTAGCACAGTGTGTTCCCATGATTGTCAGAGGTAAATCATAGTCCTGTGTGAATGACTGTTAGTTCAGCTGCTTTAGGGGCTGGCAATAGGTCTGGGATTGTTCTTGGGTGATGCTGATGTATTAATGAATTCTCCCCATTTGAGTGCCGCTCCATTATGAGGTATTGCCCAAAGGATGGTAGTGGCAACTTTTGTCCATAGCTTTCTGCCCTAGTTAATGTTTACCAAAGAAGGACAAACATCAGACTTGATAAACTTGGTTTTTTTGAGTATTCAATTTTTTTCATGTTTGTGGAATCCTGAGTGGGACAGAAGGGCAGTGGCACACTTTTCTTCAAGCTTCCCAACCATTGTTCCAAGGAGGATACATTCCTGGCTCATCTTTTGGGCAGGATATGGGGAAGATCAAGATTCTTAAGCTGTAGCTGGCAGCCTTTTGGTTTTTGATGAAGGTGTTCAGATGACGATGTCTGAAATTCTACTAATGAGTTTTTCATTACCTCACTCCGCAAGACTCCTTCCATTTCTCTGTAATAAATACTGTCTTTGTAATCTGTAATAGTGGGAGATAAAATTTGAGTTTGAGGCAGTAAAGTTAATCTCTGTTCATGACTGATGTAGGATTAGGTTTGTCCTGAAAAGTAATGGAGACTTGAGTCCTACACTCTTGTATTAAATTGCAGCACTGGTTTTGGTGAATTTGTTGCTCCAGTTCACATTTCTTGACCTATAAGGCACTCACCAAGTTTATCAAGTCTTTGGAAAGCATTTTCTCTTTAATGATAGTTCCTGTAGGATTCTGTCTTTTATTCTCTGGATTGCACAAGGGACTTTAGCAAAAGTCCAAGTATTTCATTTGTTTGTCACTTTAGAATGGAAGGAATTTCATTTCTCCTTTTTTAGATGACTCAGATTATCTGGCCTTTATCTACCCAAGAGCAAATATCTTTATTTTATATATAGTTCTCTTCAGTTTCAGCATCAAGTTACAGAAGTAATGCCCAGCATTTGTAGAAGAACTGTACTGTCTGTATTGAAGTTTCTGTCTCAACATCACTCGTGTGTGCTAATGAAGCTTTGAGAGCTTTTCAGTAACCTCAGACAAGTACATGCTTGCTTAGTTCTTCTGGGGTGTGTAACAATAGGTACGTTCACAAGACCGGAGGTGCGTGTGTGAAGTGTGTGGGCATGGCTTCAAACAGCTCATCATCCCGATAAGTGTTCCAGACATTCAGAAATTGTTGTCCTAGGAAACATACAGGATGAGATCAGTTGGTGAAAATAGTCTGCCAGTGCTTGCAAGAGGTTGCTTCTTTCCTCTCTGATGTTATGGATGCATGGTGAAGGATACTGCTTTTCTGAATCGAGCCCCTATCACCAATTTCAGATTCCTGAGTTTTTAATAACTCCATGGGCGCCCTGAATAGAAGGTAATTAAGATGTGCCTTCTGGGTTTTTTTCTTCCCTCAAAAATAGATTCTGGAAAATGGAGAAAATTGCCACGTTCTGTATTACCAGTCTAGTTGAAGTAAGATCCGTTCCTCTCTTCAAGGAGGAAAAACTGTCTTGAACTAATATATCGAGTTGCTGGATTGACCAGATTGATCTGTCTGTAGTTTATTTGACAAGAAAATTCCAGCAGACAACTTGAATCTGCTTCAGATTGGTAGCTTGTCTATGAGAAGGACCATGCTAGTGACCACATTTCAGAAACCACATTGCAGAATAGATCTACCTGAGGTTGTTTCTTTTCACCTCATAGGCACAAAAGGTGTCAGTTCTTTTCCTTTTTCTTTCCCCCTACCCTTTTCTCTCCCTTCAGAGCTGGCTTCTTTCAGTCTTCTCTGCTGGATGAATTTCTGTTGTCTTAGGGAAACTTAACTGTTCTGCTACTACTCTGTAACAGGCATGACAGTGAAAATCACTCCTAGGACAACTTTGATTTCAAAACATTATTTGTCTTTTGATTTACAAGCAAACTTTTATCTTTTCTTTAACCTGCTTATGACGCAGTTGGGTCAGGTTTGCCTTCTGTACCCTGTATTTTAGCACAAGTTCTGAATAGCTGGTCAGAGCAAATTAGTTTGTCTGCTATTTAAAAGGAAGATTTATTTCACAGAGTGGATCAGGTTGGATACCTACTCAATAGCTATGTGCCTGCTTTTAGTTAAGACATATCTGATTAATATTTTAATTTTTAAAGCTAATGACCTGCTGTGTCAAAGCCTTCTTAGCAGCAATATTCTCTCTGTCCTCACTAAATTTTGCAGTGTATTTTTTTCCCAGTCTACTACTCTCTGGTAGGTGTTTTTGGAGGTCTTATATGTGTGGTTATTACGTGTATACGAGGGATCACATTATCCCCTTTGGGCTTTACATCTGATTTTGACTTAAGTGTAAAAGCTCATTTGAACGATTGCAGGTGTTTTTTAAAAATGGTAATTTTTGGGAGCAATTACTTCACCACAAGAATTTGAGATAATTGAGTCCATTTGATTGATTGCTCTAATGATACATTAGCAATAGGGTGGCTAATGGTAATATGAAGGTGATTTGTATTCCATTTGAAGTCAAACAGCTTGCCAGTGACTTTGCTTAAGCTGTGTGCATCTTAGTTTGGAGATACTCTCTGTGCGTTGGATGAAAGGATTCTGTATCTTTGACTCCTGACAAATTGGTTGGGAGACATTCCCTTTTGTCAGCTGAGGCTTATTTTGCCATCATTGTTAGAAATACTGCATTTTGTGCACATTCAAACTCTCCAGGTGGAAAGGTGTGTTATTTACCTTCTACTGTGCAGATGTTTTGTTCATAAGTACACTCAAAATCTGCCCTTGTAACCAGCTTGCTTAGGGTCCTTATATGCATTTGAGAATACTTGATGGAGTGGAACGAAGGAATGAATCAGTTCTTTCAGCTGTGTAGGAAGAATGTAGGCTGGGAAGGATGCATTTAGATACCGCCTGACTAGAAATTCTATGTCTGACACTACTAGTGTACAGATCTGTGTGATCTTCATCCAAATGCAGTCAGATGTTGTGGAAGAAAAATGTGAAAATAATGTATTAATATATTGAGAACAGGCAGGGTAGAGGGGGGTCGGGAGGAGAGAATGACAAAAGAATTAAAAAAGGAGGAAGGTTATCTAAAATCCTGAATGACAAACGATGTCGTCTTTGTTCTGGGTTTCATTGGGTTTCTTTTTGTTTGGTTTTGTACTTTTTACTGATATAAACTTGTGTTGTGTCCTGACAGCTAGCTCTTGATATGTGGAGAAAATTAATGATTGAGCCACTGCAGGCCATCCTTATTCGGATGCTCCTCCGAGAAATAAAAAAGTGAGTGTTTGGTTGTTTTTTGTTTTAACATAGTGTGGGGGAGGGGTATTGCACTTGCACTCTTTTTACTTTGAAAAGTCTGTGGATTTTGAATGGATTCTTTTATGTTTGGTTTTGTTAAGGTAACTTCTTACCTAATGATGATGGTCTATCAGCTTTTCTCATTGTAGCTACATATTTGTGGCTTGCATGTGTAGAAAAAGGTTCTGAAAACAAAACAGTCCACTCCCTGTAGCCTCAGGGTAGTGATCTTCTCTGTTTCAGCAACCCTTCTTCCTTCTTATCAATGGGATTGGGGAGGAATTAGAATAATTCTCCAGGTCCCATAGGATGCCTCTTGCCTTTTTCACCGCCTGATGCTGACTGCTTATGGCTTCTGTGCTGTCAGTAAAGTTAAGGACCAGGCCTTGGGCAAAGATTTGCCAAAGCCAGAGAAGCTGTTTCTTTGCATGGGACCCAGAACAAGTCTTGCTTATCTGCCAGGAAGACCAAGCTTGTGGGTTTCAGTTGTTCAGATGAGTGCTTCACTTAACAGTCCTGCTGCTTTACTTGAAGGAAATGGAAATAATTATTTTTTTGCACTTTGAGGGGAAATTATTATTTCATTTCCGAATACTTTTTTTTTTTTTTTTTACTTCTAAACAAAGACCCTGGTAGCTACAGGGCTTGGGACTTTTAAAGTTTTGATTTAAAACTTCTGCTTAACTCCTAAAGGACCCTTTTATTTATGCATAAACAGAAATACTGACATTTACCACAGATCTTGTGTGTAGTTGTAAGTTCCATCAGTTTCTACAATTCTACTGCTATTTAGGGTAGCTCTGGAGTTACTGATGACTGGGTTTTTTTAAGTGATTACTCAGGTGACCAGACTAGTGTAGGTAAACTGAGAGAGGTAATTTGACTGCTTGAGGTTCCTTTGACATGCATTTGATCAGATAAAAACTGTTTATAAGGCATTAAAAACCTAATTTTAAGATTTTTATTTTTCATTCCCAAATGATGTCTGTCTTGGATGGCATTTCTGAGGCCAGGAGGTATTTACTTGCTTTCAGCTGTTGAACTGTAGTGCCTTTGTAACCAGGGCTGATACTACTTTATCCATATATTTATACTGTAACAATTTATTTTTATTAAAGGAGGATTCCCTAATTCACTGTGAAGAAAATTCTCCTTTGTTACATCAGGCACAGAGACACTGAAGACTTGTTTCAGTCAATGTGTGTATTTCACTGGTGGGTGGGAGTGGAAATGTGTATAAAAACTTTTTTCAACAGAGACCTGATGCCTCTTAAGAGTAATGGTGTGTATTTACCTTGAGGCTGACTGCAGACCTCACAAGGGTGTTTAGATCAAGCTGTCACTGGCTTTGGAGGAGGCCTGAAACTGTAACAAGTTGACATTATTTGTAATTAAACTATTTGGAAAATTTTAAATAAAACTTGAGTCATTGTCTCTGATGGTTGGATCTGGATTTTCCCCCCCTTCTTTATTAAGGATTCTTTTATGTGATCTCAAAGAAGTTAATGCAGTTCTGCTTCTCAAAATAGGCATATAACTATTCATACTAAGTTTCTTTTAGCCACTTTGTGATCTACATATCATTTAATGAATTATATGAGAGAGAACTACTTATAGCTTTTTTTCCTGCTATCATGAAATTTAGAGTTGACTGTGGGGATTCTGAGGACGGCCTTTGCGTGTAACTCTAGGCTGGTTGCTGTTCTTTGCTGTGATTTCAGTGGTCAATACAGTTTTTAAGAGGCAGTTTTAAAGACACTGCTGCAAATGACTATTAAATGTCTTCTAACATTGAATTCAGGAGTTCAGGGATTAAACAAAGTCTTTGGAGAAATGGATATATATCCATAAGTTAGATCTGTCAGAGGTGCAAGAGTATGCATGGGCATAATATTACCTAAAAATTATAATAAAATTACTAATTTTAAACCTCCTGTGTAATATACCTTCTTAATAGTACTTGTGTGTGCATGGTTCTGTTTATTACAACGCCTCCAAGAAACTAAAATGTATGTAGATGGGACAGTTGAACTACTTCTAGCGAGAAGATTTTGTGTAGCCTATGACGATATGTGGAGTTGATAATCAACACTGTAGTTGATAATCAACACTGTAGTCAACGGGCTGCATATAAAACTATGTTTATTACTGTACTGGAAAAGGTAGGGGAGCAGAGCCACAGCTTTTTCTTTCAGGTGTATTTACCTGAAATCAGTGTATTTACCTGGAATTTTAAAGACTTCTGACTAAAATCTTGAGCACATCGATCTTTTAGAAGCTATAAACTCTGATGTGCGATACAGTACACATTAAAAATAACAACAGTCTTCTTTTGGTACATGAAAATAAAGAAATACAAGTAGTGACTTGTGGTTCAGCTAAACAAAATGACTAAACTGATCTAAGAGTTTACTGATGCCAAAAAAGAGCAGGCTGTGCTCTACTACCTTTCACGTGCTGAATTAGGTGCTCCTCTAGTCCCTTAGTGAACCAGCTCAACTGCTAATATGACAGAAAACCATCTTGGCTGTTATTTCTCCAGACTGGCACAATGAGTCAATTCAGCAAAGAATTAGATGAGTGCCAAAGCAAAGCAAGAGAGAGAGAGAGGCCTGTGACTGAGCAGAAGGGAGCAGGGTTAGCCCCCTTGAATGGCACAAATTCTTAAATCATGTAAGCATGTCTTGTCTGACTGCATTAGTTAATATAGAGTTCTGAATATAACACACTTTCTCCCCCCTCCCTCTAGCCCAAGCACTCCTCCTACAAGGCAAGCTGAATATCAACTTAAGCATTTTTGTTCCAACACAAAAGGAAGCCGACAAGATCTTGAATTGTGAGAAAATTCATCTATGAAATTCTTAAGCAGAAATAATTTGGAAATTATTCAGGTGCTATCTCAAATGACAGTGTGATTAGTACAGACTAACCAGGAGAGGCTTCTCTGCTAAAGATAACTAACACTTTCTAACTAACTGAACCTATTCCTGTCTAAGATGATACATTATTTATACCATTTGTTTGAAATTAAAGCTATTGGAAGTTATCTTTTTAAAAAGTATTCAGAATGGGCTCTTCTAATTGACAGTGAATTCTCTAGTTAATTGGCCTCAAAAGACCTTTGGTTTGACAGAGCAGAGCAGTTCTTTTGAATGATGGAATCTTCTTTTCATAAATCCAGTATTGATTATTGTACCTTAAATTTTAAAAATGTTCTTTGAACTTGTAGTAGTAGTACACTGTACAACACATGTTGGACTTCCATTGTTAGCTTTAGTGTTAAGACAGGAACAATATGGAATTAATATTAAGCAGCACAACTTCCTTTAGCTTGTGTTTTGTAACTTTTTCCTTTTTTTTTTTGGAAAAAGAAACTTGTCACACCTAAATTAGTGGAACTTGTGTTTCTAGCACTTTGGTTTTATCCATGTTCCTCACCAAACATGATCATTCCCTCGTATCCTCCCAGATATCCTGTGATATCCCTTCTTCAAACTGTGCAGCAGCTGCTATGTAGCTCTAAGCATCCCTATTGCTTGCTGACTACTGCCAAGAAGGAAGATGTACATTTGATACTCTACCTTGATGGAGTCCCCTATTTCATTTTAGTTTTGGCAGTTGCTCTTACTACTACAACTTTCATGAAAGTTATCCTTGAAACTTCTCAAATTTTGTTGAAACTAGTCATTTGCATTACAAATTGCTGGGAGCAGAGCACCATTGGTGTAAATAAAAACCTGAAGCTGCTGCCAGAGCAGGCACAGCCTATTCCATGCTGCACTTGTTTTCGTTTATCACCTTCGTGCGATCTGACCTCTGTTTCAAAAGCTTGTTTCCTCCCTTCCAGCTCTTCTGGGGAGCATGTCTCCTCTACTTTTACAGCTTTTTCCTAATAATGTGTTGTCCTTCAAATCCCCTGGGTCTGACCATTGCTGCCCCCTCCCTTCCCCCATCTGCCTGGGCTAAGGTCTGAAGTGGCCTGTGAACCGAGCAGAGGGGAGCTGGGACTGGAGCTGTTGTTGCAGTAATGCTTCCTGTGTTTGTGTCACCAGTACCTTTCCAGGTCCAGAACCCTGCCTGTTAGAGCTGGGCTGGACTGTCTCTTGCTAGAGCCCCGCTTTGTAACATGCTAAACTCTTAGTTCTGTGGCTTCTTGCACTCCATGACATAGCACTGTGTTCACAGGCTGCATGCATCCTGCAGCTTTCCATGCTTCTGGACCCCTCCAGGCTGGAGTTACATCCAGGCCCAGGGCAGGTGTTTCACTTCTTCCCTTCTATGATTCTGTGCTGCTGCCTCTGCCATTGTAAACCAGACCTGTAGAGGGATGTTGGCACGGATGCAGGGTGTGATTACATGTACCCAAACTCAGATTTGTTCTGTTGGTTCAGCTACCACAACCAGAGGAAATCTTGCTGTTCCCTGGGCGGAAAAATCAGACCATCCCTGATGGAACCTGTCAGTTCAGTTCACTTATAATGGGTGATGAAGCTGCATAAACCATACTGTCACTGCTCATAATCTGTTAGAGAGCTAGTTCTTTACACCCACCATGAGCCTAAGTTTTCAGATCTTAGACAGCAGTTGTGTTTGAAAGCAATACCCATAATTAACAGTGTTGTGGATGTATGAAGATGGTCTGGTGTGTGTAGTACAATGACTGCTGGTATGGCTGTGCTGGGAAATCTCCCCAGCTCATGGGCATCCTCTGGAGTTTTTGTCATTTACAAACCAAAACAAATGATATGAGCAAAATTACTTCTCCCCCACACCACCCCAGCCAAGATGGGTATATGGTAAGGCTTGGGTTTGAAGTATATTTTCATTGGCTTTACCTTTTTTTTTAATCAGTCATGTAAATGACTCTCCTATACCAACATAAGTTTCTAATAGAGAACTCATTTTGTCTTTTTAGTGCAGTCTAGGTAAAGCAGAAGTTCTTACTCTATATACATGCATATATGTATACATACGTATTTTAAAAAGTGCTTATGCTTAAGTGTAAATATACTTTTGTAAATCATATTTTAGTTCTACTTAACACCTTAGGAGTTAGGGAATATTTTTTTACTTTGTTGCAAAGTGCATATGAAAAATGGTCTTTTTTAGAACTTTTCATGTCTTAAGAGAAAGTCCCCGCTGTTCTGAGTGTGGGTCTGTTATTTCCAGTTTTGCAAAGGACTGAGCACCAATGTTTTTAGCATGCAAAACACTTGTTTTAATTACTTTTATTTTCAACTGAATGGAACTCAATATAACATTTTCTTGAACTCCCTGGTTTGAAGCTAATAAATTGACTGGAAAACGTAAGGTTTTCCTTTTCTGATGTATGATTAAATATTGTCACAATGTGCCTGGTCTGTTATTTGTTCCACTTGAGATCTACATGTTGGATAGTAGATATTCAGAAAAGAAAATAGCGTGCTTCTTGCTGTGATGCTGGTAAAAGCTATGGATTTTTTTTGACAGGGGCAAGAGTGTAAAGGTAGTCTGTATAATAAAGGCTACAAATACAAGATGGAACTTACTGTATCTTTTGAACTACCTGCTCAGAATATGTAATTTGGAATACTTATATCCTTAGCAAACACTTGGAAATTTCATGACCTGTAAATGCTTTTGAATTACTGTCTCAACAATTCAAA